CAATTTCTGTATGATTTTATTTATTTTCAATAAATTTCTACATTTTAAAAAAAAAGTCGTTGTTTTTTGAGTTTTCGCTTGTCAAATTGACTACTACGATAACCTGCACATGATCAAAACAGCATTGTCTGAAATGAGTAATAAAAGCAAATAAAACTTTTTTTTTTTTTGCTTTTAGTATAAAAGATGAAGACGCATTGAAAGAAATGTGATAAATGATTTGTTTTTGTTTCAATGATTGTGTGGATAACCTGAAAATGAAACAAATAGTCTTCTGCATCATTATTTCAATACTTCTTACTGTTTCAATTAAAGCTAATAATAATCCATGTATATTCAATTCCGATAATAATGCATTACCTTCAAATTGGACCTATTCAAGTCTAGACAATGTCAAACGTTGTTTTCAAGCTATACCAGTGAATCATACGATAATGACTCAAACAATTCAACAATTATTCAATTCAATGGATTTTTATAGTTTTCTGAGTATAGTTCGTCAAAGTAATTCACCTTATTTCATGAATGTAGATCTTCGAAATGAATTAATCAATATCAAAAATCAATCAAAGATAAATTTTTATCAAAATGATTATGATTTTCATATGTCCATTGTAAGTTCATTTAAAAAATTAAACGATTTTCATACACAATATAATGCACCAAATGGCTATGCTAATTTTGTATTATTATTACCATTTATTCTGGAATTTTCTTCTTTGACACAGCAGATCAAAATTAAAAAAGGAATTCAATTATATTCTTCTATTATTGGAAATAATTCAAATATGAATTATAATGATAAAATAGTAACAAAAATTGATAATATTCCTGCATTCGATTATTTGAAACAATTTTCTGATCAACATTCACTTATTAGTAAAGATAAAAATGTAAAATTAAATTCTGTTTTTCGAGAAGAATTTTGGTTACGAAATCTCGCTAGTTATCCATTACCATCAAAGAATGAAATAACATTTACTATTTTAGACAACAATGAAATAACATTAACATTTCCTTATATTGTTATAATAACAAAGAAATTCGATAATCAAATTAGTTTAATGAATGAAAATATGTTTTCCTCGCCAACTATTTTTGATCAATCGATGATATTGCATTATGTCACAAATTCCGAACATTTAAATTGGTATCATGAAAAACAAAGTGATGCTTTCGATTATATAATGGGTGATACTACTGCTTATTATTATATTCATAAGAAAACAAAAACTACCATTATCAAACTCGAATCGTTTGATGAACAACAATTTGAAAGTATAAAAAATGTTTTTCTAAATGCTTCTGGAGATACATTGATTATTGATTTGATTGGTAATCAGGGTGGTCACAGTTGTATTGCATATAGTTTACTTCATTATTTAGTTCCTGAATATTTGAATTTAACTATTTTGTACGAAGCATTCGATGGCAGAATAACAAAATCATTACAATCATTTTCAACAGCATTTAGTTTTTATCCGAATTCAATATTAAATCTTCAAACTGGTCAACCATTTACAAATTTGGATTGGATACAACCATATGTTAATTACACAAGAGGAAATTCTACAGATGAATATTCAATGAAATCTGGTATTAATTGTGATGGACAAATATACGGTAGTGGAAAGTTTTGGCTTCGAAATAGCACTAGTAGAAAATATTTTAAATCAATATATGCCTTAACGGATGGTACATGTGGCAGTGCGTGTAGTTTATTTTTATCGAAATTAACATTTGCATCTAATTTTAAAAAAGCTTATGGTCTAGGTGGTGGTTATGATGGAAATAGTTTATTTGAGAGTTCCAGTTATGCTGGTGGTGGTGCATTTGATTGGAATTTTATTGTTAGATTTTATAATCTTGTAGTTAGCGATAATGATTCGTCAATTAGTTATTTACCGACAAGTGCTTTCTTCAATTTGAATGTTTATGAACTCTATATCGATAAACTCAGCGCTGACTATCCAAGAGAATTCGTTTCACAACTAATTGACAAACGAATTTCGAGTTCAGACTATTTTAACTTAGAATCAGCTCTAGAAGAAATAATCAATGACGATAATCAACCAAATGGATACAATCCAATAATAAATAACTCATTAAAAATAACTATTTTAAGTCTACTCATTGTAACATTAGTGGTTAATCCAATTTAAGGTATTGGTGTTGGTGTAAATGAAGTGAAATAGGTTCTTTATACACTTTCGTACCCTTGTACTACTGAACGTATGAAACTAAATACAAGATTATAGTTTTATTTGAATTCTTCTTTTGTCTAGTTGATATTGATAATATAGCTAATTATTTAGATTCAAAGACTTGTCTTTGATTCAATTAAACTTTCTAATATTCCAAATAGATTTTTAATAAAATTTTTCACTTGATTATTGAAGAAATATACCCATCCTACATCGGTTAAGCAAACTGAAAATCATAATGAAGATGTGCGCTAAATTAATGTCTACTTTTTAATGAAAGTCGTAAGCAACGTATTGGTGTTAAAAGAAAGTCGTTAGTTACGTCTTTCGCCATCAGTGTTAGTGTCCTATCCCAAAGGGACAAACTAATGCATCATTCACTCGAATTCTTTCAGATATTTAAGAAAAAATAAAACTTGCTTTTCTTCTAGTCATCTGGGGTGTAATAATCACCACTTCGTGGTATAATTCAAGATATTTCAGTTCATCATTCGTATAACAGATCGAGAACATCAACTTGAATCGTTATTATATGCACCTAGGGAATATTTTAAAAGTTGAGAAATGGGTTGTGGATGTTTCTTTGCTTTTAAGTCACACCCACACCCACAAGTTATTTTAACTTCAACGGAGCTCATTAGATTTAATCTGAATAACTGATTCGAGTAGTCAAACGACTACTTGTCATGAATAGAGCATCGCTTTCTCATTTAGTTTAATAAAGTTCTTTTTTTTATTTATATCTTATCGTACAATTGAACGGTTTCTTAGAGAACATGTACTCGATGGTGATCGACTGAAAATCAAGAATAGTATCATTGTGCCATCAAAAGAGACAAAAAATAATTGGATTTAATCTATAGAATGTTGGTAATAGAATTGTATTCAATATAGACTTAAAAGTGAAGTCACTATTAATGATTGCAGTCGTTGATATTTATCTGTTTTCTTTTGTAATAGTCAATCAAAAATGAAAATGTCAAAGAATTAAAGAAGGCTTGTGTCAATTGAATAAATGTGCTTTGATACAATGACATTTCGATAAAAGATTAATACTCATCTTTCTTTCAATAGCTATCGATCAACTCAGAAGCAACATTTCTGCTATTTGTGATCATTTGATTCGCTGTTCATCATCCTCTGCATCAGTCCAAATAAAATAGAACATTGAGAATTTGATTTAAATCATTCATATACAGAGTAGATGGTTACATTAGGATTAAGAAAATAGAAGTAGGTACCTGCACTCGATTATTTTTTTGATAAAAGTATCCTACTATTTACTACAGATCGATTATTACTTAGTAGTCTATTTTCCTTTCTTTTTTTTGTGTTTCTAAGCATAATTGAATATTTTCTCTAGTGCATTATTGTTATGTCATTCATTGGGTTCCTCCTATCTTGACGGGAATTGAATTCTGCTTAATTTCTTAAAAAGTTCAACTTTATTGCATGTTTTTTTTTCTGATTCGCGTGCCTCAGAATGTAAATTTTACGCATGTTAAAAAGTACGTCAGAAAATATAAATAATCATAATATTTAAACAAACCATGAATAGCATAGTCCAATGAATCATTGATGCCAAATGATATAACTCTGATGTTTGTACATATAGATATACTTCGCATATGCAGATGTATCGTAGTATTTACATCTGGTGACAATATCATCATCTGTAAACAGTGTCTGCTGATAATACTTGTACGAATATGGAACACGGAGGGTTTTATAGAGACTAGAGGTAATCGATAGACGTAGATATACTTGAAAATAATTAAATATTTTCGGGACATAATCATTTGATGCAATCTAACATTAAAAAGATGATCGACTACAAGCATTATCAGTTATCTGTGATTTTCTTCGACAACAGAAACCAAAATTCAATCGAATTACTAGTCACTAGTCTATTTTCTATCATGACAGTGCATCGCTTGTGTAGCCACAATACGAAGTTTTTATTTTTTTCTATGTCGCGCACAGTAATTTCGAAAGAATTCTTCAAAACGATATCTTAAAACTTAAAAAGTGATTCTTCTTGTAGAGAAGAGCAATGATCCTATTAAAATGTGCTTTGTTGTAGTCTATGAACATTCTAAAGTTTATTCCTTTGTATTTGATCATGTAATTTCACCAGTAAAGAAACTTTCAAAATCTGCAGATACCTTGAATGCACATTATTCTTTATTATCATGAATGCGAAGAGCAAGAGATACCGATAGAGCCAATTGCCAATGAAGTAATCACGTACGAATTGAAGGGAAATAATAAATAATTGTGATGCATATACCTAAACGAATTCTGTCGTATTTATGAAGAGGAACATAAAACGCAAAGAATTTCGCGCAAAGAATATAAAGACATCGATTTATCTAAATATATTCATTCTTTGAGTTTTATTTCAGATTAATATTAATGAGATCGATAGAGTATCTTGGTTTTGTTTTACTTTTTGTTCTGAATAGTCATTGCTCATTTTCAAAACCTAAAATAACATTGGATGAATTTTTCAACAATATTGAATTTTTATCGTTGACTTTGGCGCCCAACAATGATCCATGGATTCTCATTCAAACCAAACATCGCATATGGGATCAAAATATCAATGAATACCATCTTTATCTTCATTCACTTAATGGCACGTATAAAAAGCTTATAACTCGACAGGCAACAGGTTGGTCGAAACCCATCTGGCAAAACGAATGGATTGCATATATCGTTGATGGCAGATTGAATAAGATAAATGATCATGATCAACAGTATTATATTCAACTGTATTCAACACGAACCCAACAGATGTTTTCTCTTGCGTTAGGCAAAGAACCTATTCATGCATTTACTTGGTCGAACACCAATACTAGTCTTTATTATGCAACACGAACTTCATGGACCAATGAATCTGAATCTGCCTACAAGAATGAATGGAAAGATGTGATTGAACATCGAGATAGAGACCGAGGCGACACAATCTATCGTGTTGATTTTGAAGATTTAACACAACCTCGGATCGAGATTGTGACGAATATTTCATTACGAGTGGTCGAATTGATCTGTTCATCGGATGGCAAACGTCTCGTCTTTTCCACTGAATCTAGATCAAGACAAATTGAATTTATGAAAGACTACGAACTATATTCGCTCGATTTGATCAATCATTCACCGTTCACTTCAATTCAATTGACGAACAATCAGGCTATTGAACGGAATTTGAAATGGTTCAATAATGATTTCATATTATTCACAGTTACTGGTGAAGGATCTATCGAAGGTGAATATCGTGATACTCAAGGACGACTCTATTCATTGAATGTTATTGATGGTGGAATCCATCGTTGGGCTAATCAATTTACGGGCTCAATAACAAATTATGCTTTACTGGAACATGGACAACAAGGTGTAATTATACTTGGCCAACTGAATACTGAGGTTCAAGTTTATACTCAACAATCACCAACTAGTCCATTGATCAAACAAACAGGATGGAATGGAACCTATGAAAAATTAGTCACTACTTATGTAGGCAATCTATCTACGATAGCTTTTATTCATTCATCATTGGACACACCACAAGAAGTTTACTTCGTTAACTCCATTGATTGTCTTAACACTGCTCAGATAGTGACAAAGGAGAACGAAATATTTACTCAACGGAACTTACCGAAGGGCAAATCATATCGATGGTTGAATAAAGAGGATGGCACTGAAATTGAAGGCGTTCTTCTCTATCCACCAGACAAATTTGAACAGAAAAATTTATCTTTACTAATACTTATTCATGGTGGACCTTATACTGCCCGTTTGAATGCATTTCGTTCAGACTGGTATTCTTGCGCTATGATGATAGCTACCGAAGATTGGCTTGTCCTACAGCCTAATTATCGAGGTTCGACAGGTACGTAAGATGATATATATCAAGATTTTAACTGCAAATATGTTAGTTATCATCTTACAGGCTACGGTGATGAATTTCTTCACGATGTTATACACGAGTTTCTTTCTCGACCTGGCAAAGATATTCTGTATGGTGTCGATGCTTTGATACGAGATGAAATAGCAAATCCCAAAAAGCTAGCCATTGGCGGATACAGTTATGGTGGATATTTAACAAATTGGCTAATTACACAAACAACTCGTTTCAATGTTGCTCTTACTGGTGCTGGTGGTGTTGAAAATGTGGTCGATTGGGGGACGAATGATATGCCAATAAGTAATTTCTATTTCTTAGATGGTTTTCCGTGGGAAAAACCAGATCGATATCAAAGAGAAGCTACAATATTTCAACTGGACAAAGTTCGAACACCAACACATATTGTAACTGGTGAAAATGACATTCGAGTTCCAGTTGCACATAGCTATGTACTAGAACGAGCACTTTATTCGCTTAATGTTCCACATAAATTGATCGTCTTTCCAAATGAAGGTCATAATATCGATAGAAATCCATGGCATGAAAAAATTAAAATTCGAGAAGAATTAAAATGGCTTCATAAATACGGCCATATATGTGTATCGACATGTGAAGAATCTTTATTTTCATACGGTACTAATTAACACGTCTCCGAACCACACTGATTTTTCTATTATTATTCACTTTTATCAAAGTATTCACTTAGATTTTATATTCAGAAACAACCAGTAACATCAAGAAATCTTTTTTGTGCCTAATCCTATCCATTGACTTCAGGAATTCTAATAAAAAGCTTATGGTGCATTAAGTAGTGTTACCAGTGTCAGTTCATTTTTTCAATCAAACGTTCGCTGTACAACTTAAAAAATCACCTATTCGTAATCTCATTCATCTGTGTGAGACGCTAGTATTGCATATGGTAAAATATTAGGCAAATCAAATTTGAAGGTATCGTATGTCAGAGAGACCTTGTTTGAAAATGACTTATACTTTTAACCAAAGTAGAACATTATTTTTGGTAGAGGGAGTGAATCCTCTTCAATAATAGAAGTGACGACAGTTGCGACTATTATCCATTTTCATTTTCTCTACTCAGCTTGATCATTCAATCGTAATGTTTATCTAGAATAAATTTTAATGACATCTAGCTTGTTAAATTAATTTGAGCCTTACACAGAGACTTTGCAGTTGTGATTACAAATTTTCCTCAGTAACTTCGAGATGAAAATATCTAGAAAACGATTGGTACAGTTAGAAAAAACTCATTTGTCATGCATGATTATTAACCGAGCTAATAAATTAGAATTCGACCAGATTCTAGACGAAGATCCAAAATACTGACATTCTGTTCACAAAAAAAACATTACGAGAAGGAATTGTAGTTTTCAAAACTGATGTTTTTTTGTTATTCGTCTCCTTTTAACTGGATCTTAATACTTCGGGCAATACTGTGAACATCAGAACTCAAGTATTTTTGAATTATTGATTCGTTCATTTTAAATTCTTCATCATTTATCTGCATAAAAAAAGATGCTGAGTAAATTGTATAGATATAAACATGAGAAAAATTTTGTGTTAGAAGTGTTCCATTTTTTCAGCTTCAGACAGTAAGAAACGAAAGTGCATTCTATATTTCTTTGTATAAGTCAATAAATTAACATAGAAAATATTATCAATAGCATTAATATACTAGCATTTAACATCGATTACGCTAGATAGAATTTCTTTCTCGAATGAGTCTTTTTTTTAAAGAATCTGAACAAAAGAATCGATAGTATATTGAGCCATATTATCCGTTGAATTAATCCGTAGTGTTAACCATATTTCATTTTTTTTCCTATTACTATGACCACGTTCACTAAATTGTATTATGCATGAGAAATGATTTTGAATGTTCAAATGAGAAATAATTGTTCATTTAATATCAGTCGATCGTTGATAGAAAAGTTATAATTTTTATTCAAATAAATCATATTCTTCTTGTTGAGTTGTTTGTGAATAAATAGCTGAAACTTGAGCATCACGATCAATTTCAATAGACTTACTATCCTTCTGATTGACACCTTTTTTTATCCATCGATATATTTCTTGATATCAAGTTTCAAATTTTCTTCTTATCAATGCCAAATTAGTTGCAAATGATCTATTCGAAAGAGCAAGAAGGTGATGAAAATGAACATTGCATTGCAATTGGTTCACTAGTTTTCATTAACACTCATTAACAAAAAAACAACATATAGACTAACTTTTTTTAAATCACTAGATGTAAAACTTTGAGAAGAGATTTTCAGCGTCTTTTCTTTTCTTCAGTATTTAGGCATCATAAATAGTTGAAAAAAATCACCGATTTGACTTCGTTCAAAGTCAAAATATGAAAACTTCTAGAACAAAAGACATGCAAATTCTGCACATAGGGCTGCTGAAATTGACGACATACTCGTGAATATATTCAAGTCAAAAAACAAGTGCTTAAATACGTATCTGAACAGTATTCATTTATAGAAACAATTCTTAGGTGGATACTTGATCGAAAATCTGCCATAGTGTAACAATATGAGTTTAAAATCTTCCAAAAAAGAAGTCGTCTTGAAATTGAGCAGGAAGACAGATAATCATTGCTCTAATACAGTTCTAATTCCGCATGATTATAAAAATTAAGCATTATAAACTGAAAGATATTAGTATTCAAAGTTTGATTCTTAAGTTTTTGAAAGGTCAACCTTAATGCTTATCAACATATGCGTTTATATTTTTTCTTGATAGTAAAACAAAGGTCGTGTATGCATTCGATACATGAAATAATAGAAATAAAAACATTTTCGATTGCAGTTCTTTGAATTATAGTTATTGTTTCGATCATCTTCACTAAAATTCTGAATCAAATTACACAACTTTGTCAGCTCGATCCACATTAGCGAAGAAAAAAGACTGTTACTGATGCCGAGTTGGATACAAATATCAGAATATTTCGCTTTTACATCTTAAACACCTCACTTAGAGTGTTAGTTTAATAGATTTAAAACAATGAAAAGTGTTAAAACTACAAAAAAATATTGTTACATGATTTCGAATCGAGAAAAAAATCTATTTTCAAAGTACAAAGAGCTTCTTCCATTGTAAAACAATGCTGTTTTTTACATTTTCAGCTCTGGACTACAATTCTATGTCTCGAGAAAAAAAATCATTCATCAATATAAAAGCACAGAACAAAACAAAACTACATTCAAGATTAACGAAAATTTATTCATAAGAATGTGTCAATCAGGTTTATCTTGAAAGTAGATATTCATATTTGTTGGTAGTTTTATTTTATTTTATGAATCATCAACATGATCATCATTTATCCAAGATGGTGGTACAAAGTTTTGAACCATTTGCCAAACAATAGCTGAAAAAGGAATGTACATATGAAATAAATATGAATAAATTTATCTTTCTCAAAGTCCAATCTATATTATAGATAGTACTATAAGGAGAATATGTATTATTTTCTATTCTTTTTGGTTGGTTTTTGTCAATACATTTCATTAAAAAGACAGCAAAATGATTGATACTGACCAATTGTCTACGAAGATAATTTCCATTTCCATTGCTCTACAGTATGTTCCACGTTTTCATGCTCGTCAGTGATTTGCCCCATGGTGAGTTCTTCTTCTGCATTATGAAGTCGATCAAAAAATGGATGAGCTAAGGTAGAAATCAATTGTACAAAACAATATTCTAACGAGAGAACATTCTCAAGTGATCTGCTCCATTACTTTCTGATTAGACCCATATACTGGGACCGGTCCATTAGACTAATCTCGAAAGAATTCGTGTTCTTTTAGTAACTAATTCGAGCAAAATATTGATCATTCAGTAGATTATTTCTAACTTAGGATAGTTTTAGAACGAAGTCATATCTTTGAATTTCGAGCTCAAGCATCATCATCAACATGAAGATCTTGATGAAACTAGCTTCTGTCTAAAATTTTTTCGTTTTTAGAATTTTCATATTGTATTAGAGATGGAATCTCTGAAAACGATGAGACTTTATAAATGAATCAGTCTTATCAAGAGTTTCATGTGAACAAAGTTTCAACTACGAATTCGACGATATGAATTTGTTCTGAAACCAGCCTCTAGTTGGATTAATCGAATAAAAAGGTCAATATCTACTCTGAATCTCTAAATGAACACAACTTGAAGATAAATGTACAAAGAATGACTGGGAAGTACTTCTCGTAAATGATTATATTATGATAATATACCCGGTGCTTCCTCTGCAGTTGGACGCAAGACGATGATCAAAACTTAAAAGACGACCCAGTAAATGAACACCTATTATTAAAAATAAAATAAATAAAATAGATATTTATTCAATATTTACCATCTGATGAAACACCAGATATTAGTGTGTTTCCACTTGAGTCATATTTGAAACCGAACAATTTATCAAAATCTTGTTTTGCCTTAGATGGCAGTTGATTAATATAGGTTCGTGGTTCTAGAATATTCGTACATATATTATCGCTTATATTCTGTTACAAGAGCTAACTGTAACAGATATCAGTTAGCAAAATTGAAAAAGAGTCTTGACATTCCATACGAATGAAGAACTTCATTTTTCACTTGAGCTTTTTATACAAACCTGCAGTGCATCTTTCATTTAATGTTTGCATATTTGGTGTATCAGTTATGTTTAATATTTTACGTAGCTGATCAATATGACTATTTCCGGGAAAAATTGGTTCAAGTAGTACTAGTTCAGCCATTATACAATCCACAGACCATATATCAATTTTTTTTATCATAGCTTTTCCAATCGATCATTATTTCTGGTGCATGCCACCATCTAATAAGACATTTTTTCGTTATGTTTCTAAAATAAAAACAAGATTGTTAACATACCTGGTAGCAATATAACCAGTTATTACTTCAAATGTTGATTTGAGTCAATATCTATATGTAAAAATGAAAATTTGAATAAGACTGGTGAATAAATGAAATCAAACAGATTACTCCCTGTATTTTCGGCTGATCATCAACAAAACTGTCAAACTATTGAAAAAAAGAGATTTAAAGAAAGCAATGAGAACAACAATAAAACTAAATTCAAAATTGAACAAATTATCTTTTTATGATAGTTTTGGTTTCTTCCAACTATACTAGTAGGAATCTCATTGAATGTACAACAGATAAATTCTATTGTCAGGTTGCAAAAATAAATTTACCAAACTTTTCGTATGTCACTTATTTTTGTAGATTTCAAGATTATTTTGAAACAATGACGAGAAAAACTTCGGAAAATAGGCTTTATTGAACAATCAAATGCTTTGAGATGAAATAAGAAGTATCTAAAGAAAAATAATTTATTATAAAATATCGAAGAAAAGTTTTGTGATTTGGGTGTGAATGGGAGTTGAAACGGGGTCCGAATTATAACCATCATTCTTTTTGTAATTGTTTAGAAGAGTATACCCAAAACCACGGCCATACCCACACCGATATTCCACTCTCAAGATCACTAACGCTATCAGATGGGTTAGTTTAGGAAAAATTTAATGCTCGGCCTGGAGAATGCCGTCTTTTTTGAGATGAATCAATTCATTGACTTCAACTTTAAATTGGTTGCGAATGTCCGCTATTTCGTTTTCCCGTGTGA